CATGTTGCATGTTGATCCGGAAGTGCCAATGGTAAAGGAGCTCGTTTGAGCATTGGTAATGGAGGCTCGCATGAGCCATGGTAAAGGATGGTTCTTATGAACCAATGGTAAAGGAAATTGCCACATTTTTTACTGCGTATCTGATCAGTACGAATAAGGGCACTTCCAGGACGGGTGATACATATAGCACATTCTTTTTGCACCTTGCATTGCATATGAAAAAGAATGAAAGAAAAGAAATGTTTATGAAAAAGAAAATGACATTATTTGATGAATTGCTTAATGAATTAGTTTCTAATTGAAAATGTTTTTTTTATGCATCTTATGAAATTAACTGTATTATGAATTACCTGCTGAGCGTTGGCTCATTCCTCGTTTTGGAAATATTTTTCAGGAGAAAAGTAATGGCTGCACGACGACCTTACACTTATCGTCATAGGGGACCTCAGGAGGATGAAAGGTTCCTTGTTATGTTTTTAGTTTGAGTCTAAGTTTATTTTTCATGCAGTTTGTGGGTTTGAGTTTAAAGTTTGGAGTTTATGTAATGAATGTTTAAAGTTTAGTAGTTATGTGAGACAGTTAATGGTTTGGAACTTTTATTTCATTTCGGGTGTATTTTTTAGTGGCTCTTTCAATTAATATTTGGATGATGTTTAAAGCATTAATATAAATGGTTTATGTTTATTTATATTTTTCTGTACGACCTTTTTGCTCCCGCCCCGTTAACTTGGGCTAGCCGGGTCAGGTCATGACAATAGTGGCATCAGAGAAAAGGTTTAATAATGATCAATGAAAGAGCCTATAGGATGATTGATTGAGTCTTAGAATGTGTAGGAAGTGTAATTTTATGATTATTTGTGACTTATGATTGATGTGTTTTACCTCAAGAGTATGGATCCTGAGCAGAATGCCACTGATGGCATTAATATGGAGGAAGGGAGGGAGCTACCAGAAGTAGCTGAACCTCAGAGGAATAATATTATGGAGTCATTTGCTCAGATGATGGAAGCGATGACTCAGATGATTAAGACTTCCCAAAATCAAGCCAGTGGCAGTGGAGGTGGAGGTCGGCCTATGGATAAGAACCTGAAGTTGTTTCAGGATATGAAGCCTCCACTGTTTTCAGGTGGCGGACCTATAGAAGCAGAAGACTAGCTGATGCGAATTGAGAAGATCCTGGAGGGCATGTCTTGCCCTGAGGAAAGGAGGGTGACATTGGCTGCTTATGCATTTGATGGCGAGGCTGAGAGGTGGTGGAGGAGTCAGTTAGAACAAACATTTGGAGAAAGAACAAGCAGCCAAGTTTCCTGGGAGGAGTTTGTGAAGGTATTCAGAGATTGATATATACCTAAGTCAGCCAGGAGACAGATGCAGGACAAGTTCAACAGATTGGTTCAGGGAGACCGATCTGTTTCTCAGTACGAGGCAGAGTTCACGATGTTATCCAGGTATGCCCCACACCTGATACCTGATGCTGAAGAGAAGTGCAATCGATTCTTGAATGGATTGAAAGATGTGATTAGACATCCTCTCATTCCTTTTGAAATTGAGGATTACTCTGTCTTAGTGGAGAGAGCAAGAAAGATAGAAATGGATATGCTGGCAACTCAGAAGAGGAGGAATTTTCAGAAGAGAAAGATGGAAGGCAGGTCAAAGCCTTCCCAGATGACTCAGTCTTCTCAGTCATGAGCTTCTACTTGGAAGAAGCCCACATCCAGTGGTTCTGATAGCAGTGCTTCAACTGCTACATTGTGCAGTAAATGTGGGCGAGTGCATAAGGGAGAGTGCCTCTCAGGCACTAATACTTGTTACTGGTGCCATCATCCTGGGCACATGGCGAAGTCTTGTCCTCTTTTGGGTCAGAAATCTGCTACAGATGTGAGGTCAGGCATTAATGCTCAGAGGACAACTGGTAGACCAAGAGCTGTGGAGTCTACATCTTCTGTTCCTTCTCAAGGTCAGACTCGTCAGAATGTTCAGCCACGAGTCTATGGACTGTTCCAGTAAGAAGCTAAGGGGTCTCCTGATGTGGTTACAGGTGTGTAGTTTAATTAATTTCATTGAATTTTTTTATATGAAATTAAAATTAAAATTGAATGGATAATAAATGAAAATGAAATGAACCAATC